GTTAGTTCTGTGTGGTCATAGCAATGAATCATCAAACACACCAGAGAAATAGAGTGCCGTTAGAGGGATGACTAGTGTCCAAACTGGTAAAAAGGTCGGAGAGTGGAGGCATGTCTGACCTTGGCCTCATAGGAATCAAGCTTTGGGCTGATGGTGATTCTCTCTCCCTCTCAGGAAGTTAGAGGTCAGATACCTCTGCAGTGCTGTTTTTACATTCCCTTAATGGAGTTCATTATATAGATGAAACCTAGAGAGCTTATTGCTCAATGTCACAGTCAATGAGTTTCAAAGCTGATGTTATATTCAAATCCAGAGTCATTCATTTTGAGCGTCAAGCTCTTAGGCCCCACACTGAGTTTGTCATCTCTCTCTCAGATCCCTGCCTACCCTTCCTAAGTTTTGTTCCTCATCAACCTAAATTGATGGTACCACCATTAACCCAAGAGTCCAAATCCAAAGTCTGGGCATCATTTTGTAGGCTTCTAATTCCCTGATTCAGCATATTCAGTGAATCACCAAGTCCTGTTTGCCTCTTAAAAATTCTCAAGCTACTTTCTTCCCTCCAGTCCTACTTATTTTGCGTGCCTTATTTTGTGTGGAAGTCCTGTTGTGGCGCTGTGGGATAATACTCTGGACTGCAAAGTTGCTTTGAACCACAAGGTCGGCAGTTTAAGGTCTCACCAGCTGCTCCTCAGCAACCCTATACAGGGACACTGTGCGTCAGAACCAATTTGATGGCACTTAACAACAACAATTTTGTGTGACTTATCTCATTTCTGGATTTCTGCACTAACCTTCTAAGTGGTCTCCCTGCTTCTAGTCTTGGCGATCATTGTTGTTATTGTTAGGTGCTGTCGAGTCACTTCTGACTCATAGCGACCCTATACACAACAGAATGAAACACTACCTGGTCCTGTGTCATCCTCATAATTGTTGTTACTCTTGAGCCCATTGCTGCTGCCACTGTGTGAATCCATCTCATTAGGGGTCTAGTTTTGCCATTAGAAATTAATTCATTAGAAAACAAATGAATGTTCTACATTTCCACCAAAGTATACTTCCAAAAAGGAGCTCTGGTAGCATAGCGGTTACGAATTGGGCTGCGAACTGCAAGTTCGAAACTACCAGCTGCTACATGGGAGAAAGATGAGGCTTTCTGCTCCCGTAAAGATTTCCAGCCTCGGAAACCCTGTACAGAACCCTGTACAGGGTCGCTATGACTTGGAACCAACTCCACAGCACATAACCACCACCACCATACTTCCAAAAGCTGAGATGCAGCACTTTGCTTAGGTCGCTTTATTACCTTCTCCTTACCCTCAGGAGAAAACCCAGACTCTTTTAATATGGTTTATGGAGTCTGTCATCATCTGGCCCCTTCTTACTTCCTTTGTTTCATATTTCACTATTCCCTTCACTCGATTGTCTGCCCTTACTGATCCATCTTTTTTAAACTTTTTATTGTGAATTGAGTGAAAGTTTACAGAACAGATCATCAGTCCCCACACTCAACAAATCGTTCATGTCACATCAATACAACGATTGAAATCCACTCTGTGTATCATCAGTTAACAGTATTTAACTCTATTCATTGTAACTCTTGTACTCCTCTCTGTATCTTCCACTACCTTCACCTTTCCTGTGCCAGTTTCCCTCTTGTTACATATTGCGTTCCCCTTCCCCGAAATTAACAAACAGTTCTGGTGTGGTGCTGTGGGCTAATGTGCTGGACTGACTGCAAAGTCAGTTTGAACCACAAGGTCAGCAGTTCAAGCTCACCAGCTGCTCCTTGGAAACCCTATACACAGTTGCTATGGGTCAGAACTGACTCAACGGCACTTAACAACAACACCCTCTACCCTGTGAATAATTTTCCTTTCCCTCACACCCCTGGTAGCTATCACAGGTAACAATAAGGCACCTTCTTTTGGCAAGAAAACCTATTCTTAACTTTCTACAACAGTAATTTCATACACTATTTGTCCTTTTGTGATTGGCTAATTTCACTCAGCATAATGTCCTCCAGGTTAATCCATGTTATGAGGTGTTTCACAGATTCATCATTTTTCAACATTGTATAATATTCCATTGTGTGCATATACGAAGTTTCTTTAACCATTCTTCTGTTGATAGGCATTTAGGCTGTCTCTGTCTTTTTGCTAATGTGACTAGTACTGCAGTGAACATGGGTGTGCATATATCTATTCATGTCATGGCTCTCATTCCTTGAGGATATATACCAAGTTGAGGGATTATTGGGTCATATTATTTCCAACTTTCTGAGGAAGACTGATCCACTTTGAATTTCCTTAACTGCCTAATTTCTTCCTCATTTCTAGACTTTTGACACCCTTTATCTGTCAAAAGGCTCCTGTCAGGCTACCTGAAATGGGAGCGGGGTGGCGGTGGGGAGGAGCAAGCTGTAAAGGCAAGAAGTGACTGGCTTACAAGTTTTCAAGAGGGAGTTTAGATTCAGAGTGTTCAGGGGAAGGTAGAATTCCCACTGAGTGGTTTTCACCCTGTCTAGATGGGTCTGGTGAAAGGAGATGGAGACAAGACTCTCATGATTCAATAGTTAGTAATTGTTATCATGACTAATTGTGATTGTCGCAACTGTAAAGGCAGAAGTTTTATAGCAAAAAGGGGTGAGTGGTTGATCTTACAGTCCCAGAGTGGGGGACCCTGGGACCATCAGGGGAAAATAATGGGAATGGAGTATGGGACCCTACCTGGAGAAGTAGTGACACCAGAGATGGAGGCGGAGATGATGACATGGAAAGACGGAGCAGCTGAGGACTCTAGGCTCATGGAGGGAGAGGGGATGTGTGCTGGCTGCCGGTGGGGCAGGCTTGCAGTGTGTGCCCTTTGGCTGTTTGAATGATTGTATATTCTTGAGTGTTTTGGTGCACATCCAAAAAAACAAAGGGAACAGAAGCAAATACTGTTGAACGATGAAGCATACAGAGAACTGTAATCAATTCACAGTAAAATCTTAAAAAAAAAAAAAAAAAAGATTTATAGCGTTGGAAACCCTATACAGGATTAAAAACAAAAGGATCCTGTCAGGAAAAGGTAAAATAATGACTCTCATACAAATATATAATTAATGCGTGCTGAAGAGTATATTTAACTCATGAGGGATCCCACAGATGTTATAAATGATTCAAGGGAGAAGCTAAAGAACAGTCATGTCTAAAGATCAGGAATACAGACATGAGTACGAAAAGGAAGCAAAAACTGTTTTTCCATAAAGCAGGAAGTGAGTTGTTAACTGAATCTCTGCCAGATGGGACAGGATTTGTATGCTGTTCAGTCACCTACACAGAGTTGTAAAATAGCTCCCATGAAATCAGAATCCTATTAAGAGAGAAAGGCATACTATAGACAAGCTACTCATGTTTCCTGTTAGCCATCACTTCTTCAGGGAAGCCTTTTCAAAATCTCCAAATTTGGATGAGATTCTATTTCTGGGTCAATTTGGATACGGATATACATACATACACACACACACATATATAGAACAATTAACAGTTGCCATTGAGTCACTTCTGACTCATGGGAACCGCATGCATGTTAGAACAGAATTGTGCTGCACAGGGTTTTCAATGACTGGTTTTTCAGAAATAGATAGCCAGGGCTTTCTTCTGTGGTGCCTCTGGACGCATTGAAATCCGCAACCTTTTGAGTAACAGGGTAGCACATTCACTACCTACACCACTCAAGGACTAACTTTCTACACACACGCGCGCGCGCGCGCACATGCACACAGACGGGGACTGGGAATTATTCAAGTCCTTTATTGACGTCTGCACGGACATCTGCCTGTAAGTAGCACAATATACCAGGGGTTAGTGGAAGCCACAAGATAAAACATATTGAGTATTAATGAAGTATTCATTTTGCTCTAGTATCTGGGGAAACTCATTTTTACGATTCAGCAGACACTGCCCTTTCCTCCATACACACGTTTCATTATTTTACTAGTAGTTCCTTTGTGAAGGCCTATGTTGTTTTAGGTTGAGTTGACTGTTTCATACCCATTTTATGTACAACAGTACTAACAATAAGGCACCTTTTTCACAAATTGTTGCTATTTTTGAGTCCAGTGTTGTGGCCACTGTGTCAGTCCACCTCATTGAGGGTTTTCCTCTTCTTTTGCAGACCCTCTTTTTGATGTTCCCCAGTGAGGGTCCCTCCTGATGACATGTCCAAAGTAAGTGAGACAAAGTTTCGCCATCCTCACTTCTAAGCAGCTTTTTAGTTGTACTTCCCCTAAGAATATGTTTGTTCTCTGATTGATGGGCTATAAAACAAATTCTTTCCTCATATTGAATAGATCCTGATTCCTGACAACCCCGTGTATGTACAGCACAGTTGAACTCAGTGTTTTCAAGGTTGTGCGCGTAATCAGATCACCTTACCTTTCTTCAGAGGGGCCTCTGGGTTGTTCTAGAAGCCAATCTTCGGTTAGCAATTGAGCATTTAATCCTTTGCACTACCCAAAGATGTCTACAGTATACCAAAAGTATACAAAAATGCAGAACAATCTGCAAGGTTATATCCTGAGAGAGAAACAAATTGGATACTAAGTGGAACTAGCCTGCAGGAGGAGCCATTGATACGCCGCAAGAGGGACTCAGTCTGGCATACGGGTGGACTGTGAGGTCTCCGGATGCACCAGAAACAGTTACACTGATCTGTAGGTCATCAGTCGGCCCTCAGAAAAAGTCAAGGGTTTCTGCTTTTACAGGTCAAACGGGTGGGAAGTAGAATCCTGCTAGGAGTTAGCCGGGTGGGGATGAGCCCCCGACCCTGCTCCAGGAGGGCGCTCGTCCCACCCGGTCTGCAGTCTACTTGGCATCCGAACCTGGCGGGGCCGCTCTCCCGCCGGGTGCCCAGCAGCTACGCGTCGCGACCCAGTGCTTCCTTGGCCCGGGAGGCTCCACCCGCAGCTCCGCCCCGTGACGCGCGGCAGCGCCCCCGCAGCGCCCGCTTCCAAGATGGCAGCAGGGAGGTTTGCCCGGCTTTCGGGGCGGCGGTGACGACGGGAGGCAGAGCCCAGGTAAGTGGACTGGAGACGATGGTGAGGGAGACCCCGGAGAGAGATTAGGGCGATCGGAAGGGTGAGACGTTTTAAGCAAAGGATGGAGACAAGCTTGAGCAGGGAAGCGGAGAGGTCCCAGCTGGAACTATGGACGGGAGCTGGGCGAGCTCACTTTGCAAGGTAGGGCAAAGTATGCGAGAGGAGATTGGAGTGGGGGTGGGGTCTCCGGTAGAGCTGGGTTTTAACCCCCTGCAGAATAGTGACCACGCCCCTCCAGGTGAGTTAGCCCGGGTACTATCCCCCGCCCTTCCCCCCTCTCCCCCCACGCCAGTTTCTGCCCCAGCCCTCCCTCCCCTTCTCACTTCAGCAGCAGCCTTCCCCTCGCCTCCCTCCCTCCCTGGCTCGGACCTGGAAAAGGTAAAAGAGTAGAGGACTCCACCCCCACCCAGGTGCTCTTTGCTGCTGCTCCCAAGTGGTCAGCCTCCTTGCACCTGCGAAGCTGGCTCCGAGGCACGTGAAGAACATTAAGGAGTCTATTTCCTACCCAGCCCTTGGCTCTCCTGAGGCCATTGCACGCTCCTGACATGAATGCTTCGCTCTCTGAAGGGGTTCTGGGAAATACCATGTTTCCTTCCTTTAGCTGCTTTCTCCCCACTCCCCAAACTGGTCTGTCCTGTTGGGATAGGAGTAGCGGTGGTGATTTCGCCTGGACTTCACCCTGTCACTCCAGTGTAGCCCCAGGGCAAGGGGAAAATGCGGAATTTATCATCTCTTGCACGATCCCCCTTTACTTTTCCTACCACTTTCCCTCACTTCTGCTGAGGAACCGACCTCACCCTGATCCTGAACTCTGTTTATGGGTGACTGATTTCCCACCACCACTTCTATTTCAGCTGGGATCCAAGACCTTCACCACTAGAGTGCTGGATGGAACCTTTCTCTGTCCTCGGGACCATTTTCAATTTTAGATAATGCCTCACATCTCTGCTTCCCCGGGACCCCCTGAAGTCCCTTTGCCCCCCAGGAATACAGCTTGAACCTAGGTAAGTCTATCTTTTCTCCCTCTAAGGATGGAAAAGGGGGTTCTGTAGATACTCCTGGAATGGACAAGAAACCTGAATGATGTAAGCATTCTTAGTGGTGGGCACTGAGAGTAGATGGTGGCATGTTTGGGGGGTAGTTAGAGGAGAGTAATACTTGGATTGCAAGTAACAGGTAGTAGGACTGTTGGTGGTTACATTCTGTTTCTTCTTCTCATGTGGCCATACATCTGTGTGCTCCTTTCTGTAATTTTGTTCTTTGCCTCTCCTCTATCATCCCACCTCCTTCATACTACCTACTGATGTCTGCTGGCTTGGTCTTTTCCCAGTTGTTCCCAGAACTCCTCTCTCTCCTTCCCCAGATCCTTCCCAGGATGTTGTGGAGGTTGCTGGAGCGACCCTGCACGCTGGCCCTGCTCGTGGGCTCCCAGCTGGCTGTAATGATGTACCTGTCCCTGGGAGGCTTCCGAAGCCTCAGTGCTCTATTTGGCCGAGATCAAGGGCCCACTTTTGATTATTCTCATCCCCATGATGTCTACAGTAACCTCAGTCACCTGCCTGGGGCCCCTGTTGCCCCAGGAGGCCCTCCAGTTCCTCAAGGTCTGCCCTACTGTCCAGAACGATCGCCTCTCTTAGGTGAGTGCAGAATGTAGCAGTGAAGGAAAGGGCAGGGTGTGGGGCCAGGAGGCTTGGGCAAGTGTGGAGTGTGAAGAGTGGGACTTCGAATAGGAGGTTAGTGTAATCAGAAGGTGGGCTGGGTTTGGGAGAGAGTGGACTCTGAATTTGGAGTTAAATTGGATTCTTGATTTGGGCCATAAACTTTCCATTGCCTGCCCACTACTTATGGACTCATCTTGACCCCGGTTAGAAATTCTTTCTCCTGTTGATGAACCCTGCTTTAGTTAGTTAGAAGTCCTTGTGTTCTTTCCACCAACCCACCCACCCCAACAATAGCTTCCAACTCTGAGGGAGGAGAAAGTTGTGGAACCCTAAAATAAGAAAGTTGACTGGGTCAGGAGCCTGTGCTTTCCAAACTGTGCAGAGCTGTCTCAGTGATGGTGAACCAAACACTTGTGAGCTTTCTGAGTGAGCCCTGGCTGGGAAAACTGAGCCTGAGAACCAGGCTGCCAAGGCCAGGGGTACTCCTAGGCTCTGCAATTCATTCTTTTCTCCTTGTCTGTCCACTCCCAACAGTGGGTCCTGTGTCGGTGTCCTTTAGTCCAGTGCCATCGGTGGCAGAGATTGTGGAGCGGAATCCTCGGGTGGAACTGGGAGGTCGGTACCGCCCTGCAGGGTGTGAGCCCCGCTCTCGAACAGCCATCATTGTGCCGCATCGTGCTCGGGAGCACCACCTACGCCTACTGCTCTACCACCTGCATCCCTTTCTCCAACGCCAGCAGATTGCTTATGGAATCTATGTCATCCACCAGGTACCTAACCCTCGCCTCACCCTGATCCTCCTCATACAGAGCTTCAGACAAATGCCATGCCATTGTCATCTCGCAGATCCCCGGAATCATTTTGAAGACTGTTGAACCTAGGGAATGCTTGACATTGCCCTGCTAAACTTCTTAGTTTCATACTTATCCTTGTTCTCTTTATGTTATTCTTGCTGTCCTGTACTTTTCCATGACTTTTCCTCTGTTCAGGAGAAAGCGCAGCTTTGGAGTTGGATACATCTGGGTGCAAATTCTAGTTCTGCCATTTGTTACATGTAGAAACTTGAACAAGTTTGGTAATTCCCTGTTGTTAAATGCTGTCAAATTGGTTCTGACTCATAGAGACCCTGTATAGGTTTTTTCTGAGGAGCGGCTAGTGAGTTTGAACCACCGACCTTGCAGTCCAAACCGACCTTGAGGTCCAGTGCTTTTCTACAGTGCCATATCATGAGGCAAATAGCAGTAGGTAGTGAATAGCCACATTTTTAACAAGGTTGTTATCAGGATTAAATACTAAACAGCAGCATGTTATCAGACACATACATACTGATGCTCAAGGAAAATTTGTTGAACGATTAAATGAAAAAAAAGTTTGTCTTGGCTTCATTCTCCGTGCTCTGCACCCTACTTTGATTTCTCTTCTTTCACCTCTCATCATTCTTTTCCCCGTGCTCCCGACCTATGAACATGACTCAGCCCTGCTGTTATCTTCCAGGCTGGAAATGGAACATTTAACAGGGCAAAGCTGCTGAATGTTGGGGTACGAGAAGCCCTGCGTGATGAGGAGTGGGATTGCCTGTTTCTGCATGATGTGGACCTCCTGCCAGAGAATGACCACAACCTGTATGTGTGTGACCCCCGGGGACCCCGGCATGTCGCTGTTGCCATGAACAAGTTTGGATACAGGTAGAGGGCATGGGAAGGGGCTGGTTAAGTAGGGAATCCTACCATCCAATGGGAGAACTCAGGAAATGTGGGAAGGGTGTTTCCCTGGAAGACTTGTGGAATCCAAAGATCTTTCTCTCCCCAGCCTCCCGTACCCCCAGTATTTTGGGGGAGTCTCAGCACTCACTCCTGACCAGTACCTGAAGATGAATGGCTTCCCCAATGAATACTGGGGCTGGGGTGGTGAGGATGACGACATTGCTACCAGGTCAGACTTCCTGCTACCACCTCCATTCCCACCTCCCAGCCTAGCTCCTTGACCTCTAAGACCACTCCTGGGTGCCCATCAGCTCTCCTGGTCCTATACTGAGGCCATTGCTTTCCAAGTCTTTTAGTTCACCTATCTGCATACTGTTTAGGTATGGTCCTGGGGAGGAGCTAAGATCAACAGGACATAGTATCATGGGATTCCAGGGCTAGAAAGGGTCCTAGAGACAGCTTAGTCTCACCTTCTTCTAGACTTAGATCCAAACTATTTCCTATAGAGATCCAGGGGAAGGGATTCTACTACCAGAATCACTTTTAAAAAAACGTGCCATTGGCACGATGCTAGTTTCCTTTTATTAGCATGTGAATTATCCTGGCCTTCAGACTCAGCTGGCCTGACTTCATACCCACCTGTGGTTTGAGTATTTGGACTCAGTGTGCCAGACCCATTGCTTTCCCTCCCCTTTTATCCGCTGGAAAGATATCGCTGTGAATTCTCTTCTTCCATGTATGTTCAAAGTACTCAGAACATTCTGTGTATTTTTTTTTTTTTTTTTCAGTACCTTTATTTCCTACTTCCATTTCTTAGAGTTGGGGTTTGTTTCCTCCAGGTCTTGATGACCACATGCTACCCTTATTTTAACAAGAGGATGAGGGAGGGGCTTTAGTTGGGGCAGCTCAGCCACTATTCTAAAACTTGCTGAGTTTGGGCTTACTTCCTGTTATTTTGACAAAATGGCTTCTTTCTGTCCTTCCCAGACTACAAGGGCAACAACTCCTGGAGTCACTTAGAAAACACAGGTCGGAGGTGCAATCCTACCTCTTTCTGTTAACTATTTAAAGGCACCAGGGTGCTTGGTACCATACCTTGAAGATTTGAATACATCTAGTTTTTACGTTCACTTTAGCTCTTCTTTCAGTTTGCTTGTCTTCCCACTCCAGTGTGCCTGGCACCTTTTTTTCCTGACTAGTTGTAGTTTTTTGTGTACAGAAACAGCAGTCCCTTCCTGGCTGACCTCACTTCACAGTCATAGCTCAGCAGCTTTTCTCCATTCTGGATCCTCCAAGGTTCCCCCTCATTTTTCCTGTAGGGTGCGCCTGGCTGGGATGAAGATCTCTCGACCTCCCACATCTGTAGGGCACTATAAGATGGTGAAGCACCGAGGAGATAAGGGCAACGAAGAAAACCCTCACAGGTAGGAAGTGAGGACTGGGTCCTCAGGATTCTGCACCCCTAGGTAGGAGACTTCTAAAGGTCTCTAGATTCCTGGCTGTCCCTTCCTGGGTCTTAGTTTCTACTTTCTAACCTTCAGATTTGACCTTCTGGTCCGCACCCAGAATTCCTGGACACAAGATGGAATGAACTCACTGACATACCGATTGCTGGCTCGAGAGCTGGGCCCTCTCTATACCAATGTGACAGCAGACATTGGGACTGACCCTCGGGGTCCCCGGGCCCCCTCCGGTCCCCGTTACCCACCTGGTTCTTCCCAGGCCTTCCGTCAAGAGATGCTGCAGCGCCGGCCCCCAGCCAGGCCTGGCCCTCCACCTACTGCCAATCACACAGCCCCCCATGGTTCACACTGACTCCTTCCTGACTATATTAATCATGAAATGGACAGAGGAGTTGTATTCTCCCTACCCTTCAGCCCCTCATTGTGAGAGGGATGTGGGGGACCTGAACTCTAGTACTATGCTGGCAGCCAGGGGCCTCTCCTCTTTGCTGGACTGGAGCTGGGCTCCTCTAGACCTGGAGGTCCCTCTTTCTAGGGTCACCTACCAGGGCTTCTGACTGTGAATCCTTGATGTCATGATTTTATGTGACTATTCCTGGGAGTCCCCTGCCCTGGGGTAGGTGCAGGGCTGGACCCCAAGCCCCTTCCTCTTCTGTGGAGAGAAGAGTGATCTGGCTTCTCCTGGGGCCTCCTGTGAATATTTATTCTATTTATGGTTTCCGGGAAGTATGTTTGGTGAAGGAAGCCCCACCAGGGCACTTTCTTCCAGTGCTGGAGTAGCACCTCCTCCTGACCCCTGGCTCAGAGTGGGGCAGGGCTGGGGCTGGAATTTTGATATATTTTCTAATAAAGGACTTTGTCTTGCCTCTGCTCTTGCTTTTGCATTCCAGGCACCCTTTGCCTATCTTTGTATCCCTGGTCCATAGGTGATCAAAAAGCCAGACAAAGCCACCCTCCAGCAACTTTTATTTCATGAGTGGGTGAGTCGTCCCTGCCAGCAGGGGCAAGAGGAGGTGGGATCACCTGTCAGGTTTTGTACCCAGGGCCTGGGCTGCTGCCTGGCGCCCACTCTCAATACAATCATTGACAGCAACCCCCTCATAGGAGGCTCCGGCTAGTGTTAGGGGCAGCCTATGAGCAGCCAGAAACCGGGAAGCTAAGTCTGGAAGGAAAGGATGAAGGAATGTTAACAGCTGGAGGTCCGATTGCCTTCGATGCTCCACCTCAGCCCAGCTGCTGTCCCAACTTACCCAGTTTTTTCCAGTGGCCTAATGTATACTGGGGGATGCAATTCTAAGGAGAAAGTAGGGAATGAAAGGAAAAGTTCACTAGATCCCCAGGTCTTTCTTTGGTAGACATACAATGACAAAATATACCAGTCCCTACCAAAGGGGGAGCGAGAGAGGAGTTTACCCCAACTCACCTTATGAAGATGGACCAAGCAATGACTTGGTGGCTCCTTCAGTCCTAACTGTATGGCAGCTGCTTTCTCTGCCTGCTGCTGCAACAGCTCCTGAGATAAGACATGGCCACTGGCCTCCAGTGTTTGTAGCCAGGAGCCTCCCAGCATCACCTAGGGAGGGATACAGCACTGGCCTTGCCTACACTGGAGCACACAGGAGCCCTTTAGAAGCCCCCATAAACAAAGCTTCCTCTTCTCACAGTTACTCGGAGGCCAGGAAGGCTCCCATCCTGTTCAGGGAAAGCAACTGAATCATACACAATTCCCAAGACACCTGGGTCTTCGGAGGATGGAACCAAATGTCCAAATCCCTGGAGAGAAGGAAGAGATTGGGTCAGCAGGGAAGGGCTCTTAGCTGAGCCCTTGTCTCCTCTTCCCTCTGTGCCACACCTGGACAGGCAGATGAGCTCCTCGGTACTGCAGATTTACCACAGCAACAGACACAGCACTGATGGTACGCAGGGTAAGGGCCAGAGGTGCCGCCTCAGCAGGGAGCAGTTCACTGAGCACTAGGGGAGATGATCAGGAGGCATTCACACTCAGTATTCATTAAGGCCCTGGCATTAAAATCCCATTAGAGATGACCAGTTCAAGTACAGGGTTTTGCTGGCTGGGGAAGGAGAGGGAGACTATCCCATTACCTGAGGCTGGAACAGCACTAATAATATGGTCAGCCTCCAGGCTGCTGTCCCCTAGAGACACCTGAGAGAATGGAAACATTTGATCAGGGGAATTTTATGGTTAAATCAAGACTTGCTGCCTCACTCTCAATATCTCAGGCATCCAAGTGGCAGGAGAGACTGGATGCTGACCCACGATTAAGAGAATAAGTGACAATGTGGTCCACACAAAAATCAGTCGCCTGTCCAATTCAGGAAGTGGGCCAGTTAAAAGCACTACCTCTAGCCACGTATTTAGATCAAAAGGGACTTGAGAGAAGGGGCACAAATTAGGCCTTGGTACCTGGTGTGGTCCGTATTTGCGGAATAGCTTCTAGGGCAGGAAAATAATGAGTCACTTCAGTTGTGTCAGCCCTGGTCTGCTGATGACAACACTGACATACAGACTCATTCATTATTCTCCAGGGGGAGCCCCTACCTTCCAGCGTCCTTCTGCCTGGAGGCTGAGCCCACGAACTGGCTGTCCTCTGAGAATACTGACTCCCCTACTAGTCAGGTGGGCGTCAAGGGCCTGGGGCAACATCTCCAGCCCTCCACGAAGGGACCACTGGCTCCAGCGTTCAGCCCGGGCCTGGCGAATGAGTGCCGAGTCGACCTGTGGGCCCTGCCCTGCAAATAAGGAAGCAGAGAAGAATCAAGACAGAACCCCTTGCTGTCTGACCCCCTAGCTCTGGCAGTGCTTAATATCACGAACCCTTGAACCAGTCCCCCCTCACCTGCTCCCAGCAGCAGCCCTAGTAATATGGAACGATGGGTTTGTTCAGCTTGGAAGAGAGTGGGAAAGCAAGACCTGATACTGAGCTCACGGCTGTCGCCTGCAAACACTCCACGGCAGAGACTGTCCAGAGCTAGAGAAGCCACCTGAAGGGTAAAACGGGTTGAGAGTTCAAGGAAGAAGTTGCACTGGCCCTGCTTGGAAGGGAGTGGAAGTGGGAGAGGGTTTGATGGGGAGTTTCCCACTTTAACAGAAGACTAGGAAGGAAATACAGGCATTCACCAGAGAAGCTGGCATTTCCAAATGACACAAAAGTGCCCCTAGATGGCAGCTTTCATTAGGAGGTTCTGCAGCTGGTTTAGGAGGGGAGGGATTTGGGCAGTGTCACCTCAGGTCCAAGGCGCCGCTGGGCAAAACTGTGCACAGTCTCATCAGGTTCTTTGCCCCGGGGCTTGGTCAAGTCCCTCAGCCCAGCCCAGAACAGAGGTTTGGAGAAGGGGGGTGAAGGGCTGAATAGCCCCCTGCATGGAGGAAGGGATAGTGAGGGGGGTAGGTCCTCCATGGGTCATTTCCATTCATTTAGTCACCCTATGCTGGGCGGGATAATAGGGAGATAGGATCTGAGGATTGGGGCCAAAGTAGACCAACGCGCAGTAAGAAAACTGGTGTTACCTGAGGCCAGTGGGCAGGGCATGCAGGGTGCCTCCTACATACAGGAACCTGTTTTGGGCAGCTGGCTGATCTCCTCGGACAGGCAACACTTCTGAGTCCAAGCCAAGCTCCGAAACCTACTCTCCACACGCCCTCAAGAAGAGGACAAACTAAGGGAACGTCTGATCCACCAAGTCTCCACCCTCCCCTCAACTCTACTGCCCAGTGAAAGGCACTTCACAACCTCTCCTAAGCATTCCATGTGCCTCTCACCAGGAGCAGGGTCTGGGCCCCCAAGGCTCCAGCCGGCCGAATTCCTCGAGGTCCAAGTTCAAAGATAGCACCATCCGGGCCTCGAACGGAGCGGATCCAGCCTCCCAGACGCTTGCTGCCCTCCACGAGGATCACCTGGATACAAGGGGAGACTCTACAGCACCGCCTACAGCCGCGGAGGAGATAATCCCGACCAGGATCCAGCTTTTGCTTTAAAGGAGGTGCCTTGAAAGAAATGCTCATGGGAGAGGCACTTACCTTGGGGGGTTTGGGGACCCGGCTCAAGTGGTAACTGGCGGCCAAACCGCTGATGCCTCCACCCAGGACAACAACGGTCCGTTCCATGAGGAAGCCTGGGGAAAGGGGGGGTGACATGGACAAGCGGATCCTGCACGCAAGAAGTCTCGCGGGTTCCGGGTTCCACTCCCGCCCCCTCAACGCTTAAAGGAAAACTAAGGCAGCGTGTGCAGAAGGTCCGGTGGAATCGTGAGCCCCCACCCAGCGGTCAGGACTCACCCAAGAAAGATCAGGAGGGACAGAGAAAATGGAGGAGGAGGCAGTGGTCTCGGCCCAAGACCTCACTCATACAGCGCCCCACTAGGAGGCAGATAAGGGCCACGCCCACGTTATCTGTTCTCGCAGGGCTCCAGGGGGCCGGCCAGCTTTCTAGATCCTGAGGCGTTCGCTTTCTTCCCACGCCTCCCTTTGCCAACAAACACTTCAAATCAGCTGTTCCCACCCCCACTACTCCCGCCCCCTCTCTTTAATCCTCCCACTCTCCTTCCACACTATTTTCGCGCACGCTCCTGATTCTATTTCTTCTGCTTCTGAATTGGTGGGTCCTTGAAGGCCCCGGATTACATCCACCAATGAAACACTGAGCTGGTGATGACTCTTCCCGCTAGGGTTGTACGAAGGCCTCTGAACTGAGAGGCGCCACAGAGCTGGAAATTAACCAGTTCCGTGCCCAGTCGGAGTGAGCGGCCTAACATAGTACCCCCTTCCCACTCCCACTCTCTCCGGGATCAGAACCGGGGCGGCGAAAGTTGAATTCTGGAGTTGGCATTCCCCAATTCAAGTTTCTCAGGCCCAGCTAGGGTGAGAACCCTGGAGGGAGGGCCCCATGAGTCCTTGTAAAGAGATATTGTTACTGAGTGCCTTCGAGTCGATTCCGACCCATAGCGACCCTGAATAGTATTTCCAAGGAGCAGCTGGTGAGCTTGAACCGCCAACCTTGCAGTTCAAACAGCTTTGCAGTCTGTCGCATTAACCCACAGCGCCACATAGGGACACGGAAACCGGTCCTAGGGGAGGCGGCTCCATAAACAGCTTCTTGATGTTAGCAACAGACCAGGCCTACGGGAGCCTGGGCCACCGGGCAACGTACTCAGTGTTTGTCAACAGGGGTCCTTGGGTGCCTCACCCTCTAGGGACAGCCCCCACCGCCAACAGTACCCGTTGTCCGGGTGCCTGCATTTTTGTTCCAGGCCTTCCCGCAGCACTTTCAAGAGGCTCAAGTTTGTCTTTTTTCCTTCACTGCTGGGCACACGTGGGTGCTGCCATGCCTATTATCCATCCCATCTGTTCAGAGAGCGCCCCCATCTGTTCTGAGAGAGAACTGGGGGCCAGGTAAACTCCAAATCAGTCCAGTTCTATATTCCCACTCCAGCCCTCAGAGTATGAATACAAATAAGGACATCACCTTTTCTTAATAAATTTATTCACAAAAAGTGAGACTGCAGAGGGACTGGGGTCTGTACACAGGCAGGGGTCTGGTGAGTTCTGTACATGGGGTTGGGAGACAAGAAGCCTCCAGGTGGTAGGGTAATTCTTAATAAAAAAAATAATGGGAGCTACAATCACCTCCTCCCCCATCCCCGAATAAAAAGACACAAAAATAGACGTCTCTGAGGTAAATGGGGAGTCTGGGACTTAAGGGTGTCAAGGGATTCACAGGTTCTGGGGCTTCAAAGGAGTGTCACAGGCACCGGGGTGGCTCCTGCATCAGTTGGTAGAACAGCACATAGCCCTCACTGGATGCCACCTGGTTTTCACTGACAGGGGAGACACTAGGAAGAAGAGAGACGGGAAGGGATTGTATATTCCCTCCTTTCATAAGACTGAACCCCAGAGCACCGATGAAGAGATCAGGAGATACCTGACCTCTCCTATAACCAGATTCCAGCTCTCCTGGAGCTCTGTAAAAGGGGAGGACTCGGCTGCAGTGGAAATGGGGCAGGAGTTTGGTAGGAGGCTGTTCTCACCGAGAGTCATTGTAGACATGCCAACCAGTCTGGCACCGGCACAGGGCTGTGTAGTGGCCATAGTGGACGCTGCCCGAGTGGTTGCAAAGGGCATAGAGCTGGTAGATGGGGCTTCCTGTGGAGTTAGAGGTAATCAAGTTCTACTCTCAGAGCTGTTCTCTACTGCCGGAACTCCTTAGGATCCTCTCCACTAGACTCACCTGATTTGTCACTGGCAAAATCTCCTAGGCTCAGTCGTTGCAGTGGGAAGTCTACACCTACTGAACTTTTCTTGATGGAGCCACGGGAAGCAGAAAATCGATTCAGATCTAAGCTGTGGTTAAGGAGCATTTGGGGGACCTCTGAGAGGGGCTATAGTCCTGAATATTATCCTCTCCCCTCCCCCAACACAAATTGGGAGCATGGTGCAGAAAGGTGGGGTGGTAGGTGGCCAGGGACAACACGGAGAAAGAGGGCAGAGACTAGATGGGAGGTATCCTAGGAGAAATAAGAATTTAAGGATTAGGATATGAAGCACGAGGATTCTGGGGAATCTTTGTACTGTCAACTTTTTGGTACTTCGTGTTTTCTGCCGACATCGGTCACACACCTAAATAAATGGCAAAAAGTATTACATTAATGTGTTCCTCACCTCAACTGGCTTTTCTGACACACATACAAATTCACTCTGCTCTCAAGTACTTCTGCACCCTCTGGACCTGGGAGTACTAGAACGTTTCTGAGACTTTGACACAAGCCCAGACATTTACATATCCCCCATACCAAGGCATTATGCCTTTTACCCACATGAAGTCCTGCCTGGTCTCCCACCATTACTATACCCCTGGTGAACCCCTACATACTGGGGCATTCTCCGACTCCAGCTCTTCTTCCTTGGTGAAAAGGCTGAAACAATCCCGCAAAGAGACTTTGCCCCCAGCAAATCCTTTCTGAGGAAAAAGGGTAAGGAAAGTCAGCATGTCCCAAGTGTCCTTTTCCTACTCTTCTCAAGCACCCAGGCTTCCATGTTGCTCCATTCACCCTCAGCATTCCCTCCCACACTCTGCAGATGGGTAGGACTGCTTTCACAGAACCCATGTCCCATCTACTTCTGGAATTCTATGGAATCCCACCTTGGGGATGGGCAGGGACAGGTCACAAAAAACCTCGAAGGTCGTGGAGCGATACCCACAGGCCTGGCACTTGAGGCAACTTTTCAACTGGCCCACAAACAGGTCTAGACAAAAGCAAAGGGACAGGAGGATACATCACTGTTGAATATCTGAGATACTTTCTTGAATTCCCATCTCTTCCCACTCCTTTGTCTGGCCCTCCCTTTCCCACTATCAAATTCTTCATACCATTTCCACATTTTCATCATTCAGTCTTGTTACCACACCTCTTGATAGTATCACTTTTTTTCCTTTAAGTCTGCATGCCCCGCACATGAATATTTCGCCATTACTTTACCCCATTCCATACCCACAATCTTGCTGTCCTCTCGCTCCAGGTAACGCTTCCACATTAGGTTGGCTCGGTCATCATCACTATCACAGATCAAGCAAGTGGGGAGGATCGATGAGACAGTAGGAACATTGAGTGCTCCCAACACCACTTAGATGATCCACAAAGCCCTGCACCCTATCCAACCCCTGGCTCCTTCCCTAAATTTCAAGAAAGAATCAAAAGGAGTAATACTTCAGAGAACCTTCTGGGAAAAACTGAGGTGAGAGGAGAAGAAAGACATGCAGGCATAGTTACACATGCTGTCTTCCCCTCCCTGGCTGTACGCATCTTCATGTCCCTTGTTTAAATAAATTATTCCCTCCTCCCCCAATATGGTGCCATCCTTAGCAGTATTCTCTGTCTCCATTGGCACCCTTCCAGCTTCCCTCCTCCCCTCCTGCACTGCTTCTCAAACCATTTCTTAGGTTTCCCCATACCCTGCATCCACAGTCCTGACTAGCTTAAGAGGGGGAGCAAGCTTTACCTTAGCTCAGGTTCTTCTAACAGAGCCCCTCCTCGACGGGGTGGTGAAGGGGCTGGGTTGTTGGCCAGGATTGGAGGTGCCCGGCGGCCCCGTCGGTTGATTTCTAGATGTAGCCGTTCCATGAGGAGCTTCAGGAATTCTTGGGCATCCTGCTGGCTACAGCCACACAGAGAAGATGGGCAACTGAGCCCCTCCAAGTTAGAGACACTATCCCCTGCCCAAGCATCAGCTCCCACTTTCTGGATGAAGGACAGCTCTAGGTTGAAAACAATGCTGCCAGGGTTCCTGCATGGCTCTACCCCCAGTCATGGCAGGAAGGAAATCCTATACCCTCTAGCTCTCCCACCTGTATCCAGAGAAGGAGGGAACATATTTCTGGAAGACTGCTCGGAATCGAGTAGGATTCACAGCTTCGCAGGAGTCAGGGTGCCACAGGGCACCAATCACATCTGCAAAGGCTATTGGGGTAGGGATGGGGAAAGGAAACAAAGGTTAATGACTAGAAGAGGCTAGCAAGAGGAGACTCAGGTGGTAAGCAAGCACTGGGAAAAAGGGATGCAACTGCCAGATTAAAGGGTTGGGGGCCATCAGTACTGACAGATTTATCTGGAAGGCAGGGGTGGGGAACATCTGGCCCTTGGGCTGTACTGTTGTTGTTATGCGCCGTATACAGCCTGAGAAATCATTTGGTCTGGCCCTGCCAAGGCAACCACAGTGCCAGCCATCATGTTGCTGTTGTTGTGAAGTGCTAAGTTCCAACTCATAGCAACCTGTATGGGGTTTCCAAGGAGCATCTGATGGGTTTTAATTGCTGAACTTGTGGTTCACAATCCAGTGCTGATCCTACAGAGCCATCACAATAGGGGTGAGTTAATTAAAATGTATGACCAAATATAGCAGGCAAATTTTTAGGTTGATAATTTTGTATGGCCCATGAATGATATTATAAATTTTGGCAGAAAAAAAGAATCCCCACCCCTGATGTAAGGGAAAAGAGGACTTAAAAGGAGGGAACAGGAATGGTTGCCTCACCTTCAGTGAGCTCTTGAGCTCGGCCCCCTCCAGGCACCTCTTGCCTAAAGTCCCTTCGCAGACAGAAGTCCCGAAGTGGCCGAGTGCTGCTCAGACACTGTAGCACGGCATTGAGGAAGCACTGGGAAAGTTAGGGACACTGCCATTATCTCCCCAGACCAGTGCCCCAGGAGCATTAGGAAGGCTTCAGTGCTCTCCTTCCAGTCCCCATCCCCTTCCTAGGTCAGCAGGTCACCCCACATGCTCCCCACTCCCAGCACCATTTCACTTTCCTTTTAAAGAGCTAGGAGTGGAGAATGGCTCTTACCGTGTTCCCCAGATTGCGGAGGCCAACATGACCAGAGCCTAGGAGCAGCGTATGATGAGCCTAGAAGGTTAGAGTACAGTCAGCAGTTCCCATATATACTACCCACCACTTTAACCTTTCAACAGCATGCTACCCACTGCCTCCCCACCCCATCCATGCTTTACCCCCAAACTCTACCCTCCTTCCCTCACTTAATTTTCTGGTCTCCCTACCTCACTGGCCATGAACAGTAAGCCCATCACAGCTGAGTGTACCACGGACTCAGCCATGGCTGTCCCACCTGTCCCCCACTTACTCCTCTGTCCAGCTAGCCTGCGCTGCAGCTCCTGGGGCAATTCCCCAAGCACTGGCATGGCTGCCCAGCTGCTCCCAACTCCCACCTTGCTGCCCCCAAGACCCCCTCCTGCCCCCGTGGCCCCTGCCTGCACCCTCTCCTGCTGGCTCCAACTGCGATCAGCCTAGCTCAGTTAGCTTGGGAAATAGGCAACTACACTAGCTCAGATGTTCTGAGGACATCTCTCTTCTGCTCCAGAGATTAATTAGGCCCCAGCAGAGTGTGAGGGGAAAAGGTACAGCAAGGGAAAGGAAGAGCCTAGGGACTCAAGAAAGAATTCCAAATAGTTGGGGTAATTCTCTGGGGGCTCAAACAATATACCATGCTGGGGAGTCATGGACAACCCAAAAATGGGTCTATGAGGCTCAGTGGCATTTAAATAAAGGAGAGGAAAGAGTCCAAAGAGCTGCAATGATTGGCTGAGAGAGGAAACTGTGGGGAAAAATGGGCAGGGAACCCCATTCTGGTTAAAAAAAAAGCCATATTCTGGCAAGAAAGCTGGGCGTATGGAGGAACATGGGCATGGAAGGCCAAATGTGCTGGTAAGTCCTCACCATCTTATCCTCCGAGTAGAAAGGCTCAGAAGACCGGGCAGATATCACGTGAAAGGAGCCATGTGAGGTAGGGGGCTCCGTTCGAATGCTGAGCAGGGTTGGGGGCCCAGGAAAGCCTCCAAGGCGGCGGAGAGAGGTACTCCGTCTCAAAGTGGGTGGCTCAGGCCTGAGTGCCAAGCGACTCAGTGCAGCCCCCAGCTCTCCAGCAGCACGGTGTCCTCCCAAGGCAATGCTCATTGGGCGCAAGTCACCACTGCTCACAGACTTGGAACGAGCTAAGTTGGTCCTGGATGGGAGAGGCAGAGCCACAGTTGGAGGTGGTGATCCAGGCAAGGGAACCCCATGATCTGCCCGAAGAGGGCCTCTGGAACGAGAGCCTGAGGTCCGTCCAGATCCTAGCTCCAATTTCTTGAGCCGTTCCTCATGGACACCTGGTCGGGGAGGCAGAGGTCGTAACATAGGGTTTGGCCCAGAGGCTGGGTTGCGGCATTCCTTGCTTCGGGCCCGCGGGGCAAGTGGTAGCTTGGATCCCACACGGGTCTGGACATTAACAGGTGGCTCTCGAGTTCGGCCCAGGCGATGCTCAGAGGCCTGGGGCATTGTGGACACCACAGGCTGGACCTGGCAGGAGAAGAGATGGTCAGCATGAGTATGGAGAGAGGTGGGAACTTGGCTTCCATATTAACTTCTACAAGCTCTGAGTTTTTTACCAATTATGGTATCCTCAATACCTCGGCTGTGTTTTACACAGAGTAAATAAATACTTAGTATCTACTGAGTAAATAAACGAATGAATGATAGCAGCATGTGACTTTGATGGTTTCTTTATCTCCCACCCACTCCCTACAGAAGATAGCTTTAATGGAAAACCAGCGATAGTCTATATCTCTAAGGTCTTTCTAGTCCATAATCTCATAATATGGACCCCTTATAACAGCATCGGGAGAAAGATAAGGTTTTCTGCTCCTGTAAAAATTTTCAGCCTCAGAAAACCTATACAGGGTCGCTATGAGTCGGAACCCACTCCAGGGCGCTCAGCAGCAGCATACCTATCTAATTAAGTGAATGTGCCCCTGATCACTTAGGACCTCTGGTCAAATGGAAGCTACAAGAATAACAGCCTAAAAGACAGCATTCCACCATCAGAAACCTGCTCATTTGGGCTGCAAAGGAAGCCCACTATACAGATGACTTATGATCCACTCCCTTGCCCATCCCCGAACTCCGATGTGGTGTCGGGGGTGAGGGGGACAGTAATGAGGATGGAGGAGGTACAACTCCTTGCCCCCTAATATCCGCAGCACCTCTCCCACCCCAGCAGGGCTTTAGCTGGGTCCGCCCCCCTCGAGGGCAGAAAGGCCGAGGCCGCTGATTGGCTACAGGGTCTGGCGGCGTTTTCCCGACGGTCCAGGGAAGCTGTCCCGAAAGTCCAGTTCTCCCAGGCCCTACTGGGCCCCACCTTGCCTCCGCCTTTATGGAGAGAGTACCCTTGGGTCTAGAGCAGCCTTCCCTCGGCCCCCCACGCCATAATGTCCCAGCCCATACCTGTCCCCCGGTGGGGCGGCGGGGGAGGCCAGCCGGGGCCAGGCCCCAGCTCAGGGCCACCCCCTCCTAACCCCGTGCAGCCCCCCCGCGGGCCCGGCTACAGCTTTAGCCGCAGCTGCCTCCCAGATCACTCCCGCCGCAGGCGCCACCGCCATCTTTGCTGGTCCCGCCCGGCGCCGGGCCACCGGCTTCACCAGCTCTCAAAGCGCCTGCGCAACCACACTCAGAACCCACCCACCTACTTCCTTGGCGCTTGCGTGAAACCGCCCCCTTGGTTTCACGGCTAACACCATGGAAACACAGCCAACATTAGGACCAGCAGTTCCCAACGCTACCCAGAATGCTCTTTCAACCCCTGCTCCAAAGCAATTTCCTAAGCACGGTCCTGTCGCCCGTTCTCATGGCCCGTAGGGATGTAGATGTGATAATCGTAGAATGGCCCCCAGGCTTGCCATACAGATCCGTCCAGACTGCAGGGGTATGCTTATGGGAAACTGCAAGGCCTGAGTGCATCCTGCAGACCAGGAGAGAAGCATCCAGCACTCCACATAAGGTTAGGAATGTAGGGAGTACTGGCTCTGCAAAACCCTTTGGCCTTCCAGACCAAAACAACGGGGCGTTGTTAAGTGCTGTCCAGTTGGTTCCGACTCATAGCTACCCTGTAAAGGGTTTCCGAGGAGCGACTGGTGGGTTCAAACTGTCAACTTTAGGTTAGCAAGTCCAGTGCTTATGCTACAGTGCCACACCAGGACCCAGCATAGCTCACAGTAAAAGGTCAAAAGGCAAATCTTAGCAGCAGGGGTAACAGTCTGAGTTCCCTTCACTCTCCAGATCCTGAGAATCCTTGATATCCCCCTCCCTCTCAACTTGTTATTAAGTGCCGTCGAGTCGGTTCTGACCCATAGCGACCCTGTATTGGGTTTCCAAGCCGACCTTGCAGTTGAATCCGACTTTGCAGTGTAGCACATTAACCCAAAGCACCATACCAGGATGCCCCCTCTCAACTTACTGAAGCTATATGTATATGTGTGTATATATATGTATATATATATGCCTGGGGGCTTAGCTTGCTCACTTGTTAACAGATACCAATGAGAACCACAGACCACCAGAGGAAAGAGCTTTTATTGATGGATTGTACACAGAAACCAAAAAGACTATGTCTCCGCTTTCCATTAACCCTTATCCCTCTAGGGTTGAACACCTCTACTTGGGCAGGGGCTCTAAATTGCCTCTTGGTTTTTCCTTTCTCTCTGCAGCCTAACTTAGAAGTTCAGTAGCAATACTGCTTTGTTTTGTTTTGTGATTTTCTCCAGCAATGCCTTCTGTAATTATAGTAACAACTAGGAATGGAGGGGATAGGGGAGGCAGTTGGATGAGTAAGACAACTGACACACAGGAAAAAGAAACCTAGCCTATCAAAGGTTCCTCTATCCTGCCTCAGTGACTTGATGCTTCATTGGTTGCATTTCTCTTTATGCTGGATCACACCCTTCTGAATCAGATCTGGGATTTCCACGGCCAGCCACGGACCAAGCTGCAATATAAGGGAGATCCCGTGGTTACAATCACCCTTTCAAAACGTCTTGGCCCTTCAGAATCTCCTTCCTAGAGAGGAGTTTTGGAGGTAACATTCATTTCCCAAATAAGACAAAACTTGTTGACTTTCAGCTACTCTTCTTGTACTTCTCAAGGCATCCCCTCCTTCTCTCTCCTACCCTTTATATATAAAATACACCAAACTTACCCCCAGAGCCATGAGATGAGCTAGTCCAAATTTAGGCACATTCCTGGCCCATAAAGGCTTGAAATGATCAGTCAGGCATATTTTGCCACCCCTATGAGAGGAAGATGAGGAAGCTGTTAGCCTGTAAGGTTTACCATAAAGCACAGTAGTCTCTTGGGACACAGGAAGTCTACTAGTTATCAGAATTGAGAAAAAAGTCAACTACCTACTTTACCCAGGCTTGGGAGAGGGAGGCCTGGAGCCCCTCTAAGTCAGCACTCTCTGGGAAAATCTCCTGCCTTCCAGAATTCTTCCCTAATGTCTTCTCTGACCCTTCCCATCTACTTCAATCCTACCTGTACATCTTTGCTGTCTTTCCATCCAGTTCAGGGACTGCAATTTCTGGAGCAGTAGTGGGATATGTGACAGGAATCTGGAGGAATGATAAAGTTTTATGAAAGAAAAAATCAGGATTTTAAAAAGAGAGAGAGAGGAAGAATCAGGATAGAAAAGTAATCTAATTAGACATACATATTTCTTGGTAGAACTGAAATGCTCAGCAAACTTCCCATGTAGCATGTACAAAGGGGAATTCTGGACATAGAAATGACTGTAACTTATGCTGGCTTCAACCTCAGCTTTTCCCTCCCATTTAAAAAGTTTTCTTTGGTTCTTCTGAGTGAGGTTAGCTTGTTAACAATCACCTAGTTCCTCTCCTTTAACCAGCTTTCACATGTCCCACTCCACACTCACATCAAACTCGATGTCAAACTCATATTTGAGGAGGTCATGGATGTACCAGCATTTTCCAAACCACCTGCAATAAAGAGCAAACCTCAGTCCAATTTATCCATTCTTCCCACACTTGAATGATATTTTGTAGACCAATGGACTGGGGAAACTCATTGTAGGATAGAGATTAGGGAACTCTGGAGCTGGGAAAATGAAGAAAGCTAAGATGAGGCAGGACTCCCCTGGAAGTAGATTTGGGGAAACCAAATAAGTCGGGGAAGACTCCCTCCCCCATAGATCCCAAGAAAGTCACCTTACCGAGTCCCTTCCTTGTTAGATTCCAGTCGGAACCAATCATTGTCAGCATTTTTGTTGTTCTCCACATACTACAAAAAAAAGCGTGCAATTACTTTCTCTATTATTATGTTTATCCAACTTTTCTCACATAAATGGAAGACAAAGCCCCACTGGCTAATAGGGGGTTAGCCCAGAGCAGAGCAAAGAATGCTTGGGTTCCCCTCATTTTTTGTGTTGCTGTCTAGAAGATTTCTGGTGTGGTGATGTACGAGCCACACTGGACTTTGAACCACAAGCAGCAGTTCAAACCCAGCAGCTGCGACTTGGAAACCCTGTACAGGGTAGCTGTGAGTCGGAATCAACTCGACAGCACTTAGCAACAGTAGATTCTTACTCAGAGCAACCCTTAAGGGCAGAATAGAATTGCCCCCCACAGTTTCCAAGGTTGTGAATCTTTATAGAAGAAGATTGCCATAGCTTTCTCCTGAGAAGCAGCTGGTGGGTTAGAACCACCAACCTTCTGATTAGCAGCCTAGTGTTAACCAGTGTCACCAGGGACTTTCACTCACTTTGATGTTAAGTGCTGTCAACTCATAACAACCCTGTATACGGCTTTCAAGGAGTGGCTGGTGAGTTTGAACCACCGACCTTATGATTCAAACCAACCTTGTAGTCCAGTGCTTTATTCCACAGCACCACACCAGGGTTCAAGGGCTCACTTTAGCAAACACTTAAGGCTTGAAACTACCAGCTGTTCCACGGGAGAAAGATGAGGCTTTCTGCTCCCGTAAAGATTTGCAGCCTCAGAAACCCTGTACAGGGTCACTGAGTCGGAAACGACTCCACGACACTCAACAACAAGACTTGATGATGTAATCTGGGCTCTCTTCAAACTTCAGGTAGTATCTGTCCTCAGTCTATAACAATTCATGGTACAGTCTTTTCCTGGAAGACTTCATATAGTCCTAGTTTCACTAACACTCACATGCTAATGACTATCTACCAAAGCTTCCTTTTTTGGTCCAGACCTTTTCTCAGAGCTTCTGACTCCAATATCTAATAGTGTATTGGAAATTTCTAATTTCATTTCACAAATACCTTAAACTCAACATTTCCACCTGGAATTCACAATAGTCCTTCAGATCTGTTTCTTCTGTGTTCCTAATCATTTACTTAGTCACAAAAGCCAAGAGCCTAAAAATCATCCTGACCTCTCTTTCTTTTATGCTACTTGACCGATTAATCCTTCACAATGTCCTGTTGATTTTACTTTCTGAGGTAGTCTTCAAATCTATCTCCT